CTTTTAAAACTTGCAAAATAGTCCCCCAATAATTTTATTTTCTTATTAAATATAGATGTATAGAAAATATAAATGATTCAATTTATATTTAAATGTATGAATCATTTATATTTTTGATATATTTTATTTTTCTTGTATAAACTAGTATTTAAAATATGTTTTTATTTTAATCAAAATATTTCAATATACGAATACAAATATATTTATATAAATGTATATTTATATTTAGATGTATAAATAAAAAAATATATTCATATATTAATGTATGAATCATTTATATTTTTTGAATATTTTATTTTTAATAAGAAATTAAAATTATTAATTATATTAGAAATACTCAACTTAAGATTATATATATAATCATGAATTATAAATATGAAAAATATAATTATTAAATTTAGTTTAAAAATATATAAATCTTAAATTTATTCTTTTAAAATATTGTATCAACTAATATTTAAAAAATATATTAAATCTATCAAACAATTTATCAAATATAATATTTTTATTGTAAAAAAATATAATATTTTCCCATCATTTATTGCTTTCAAATTTTTTGCCGAAGTTCAAATCTCATTATTTCCATTTTCCATTATATTCTTTTTTTTTCTGGCATTGGTCATACTATTAGTATATGTATTATTGTATATCTCTTAACACAAACGATGATGTTAGCTTAGTGGCTCCACCCTGTATCTTTCATTTGCGTGACTCAGGTTTGAGTTTGCCCAAGACCCAAATTTTACTTCTTTGTAACTTAATTTTCTTCTAATTAGGTGGTGACATGTGTCACCAATAACATATATCATGATCATGTGTAACACATGTCAGATCCTGGTTAAATGATTAATTTATTAAATTTATTTAATTTAGGACCAAATTGATAGCATATATAATAATTAGGTGGTGACATGTGTCACCAATGACACGTGTCATGATCATGTGCTAACACATGTCAGATCCTAATTAAATGATTAATTTATTAAATTCTATTTAATTTAGGACCAAATTGATCATATAAATAATAAAGACTGAATGTATAATAAAGTCAATTCCTTTTAACTGCCACTTCATCATTTGTATCAATTGGTAACGACTAGTGGCTTAGTTGAAACAGTTAAATAATTATGTTGTATGATTGATAAATTTAAAAGATCGATGACAAAAGTAAAAATGGCTAGATAGTTAAGTTGTCAACCTAGTAGTTTACACTTTTATTTATACGTCAAAATAACATTTTATAAATTTAAAATTCGAATTATTTTAAACCTCTTCTATATCCTAACTACTTTTTTTAATTAAAAAATTTCTTCAACAGATAAGAATTATACTATTATATTTATATAAAAAATACGTATCACATGAAATAAGATGAAATTAAATAATAATAAATCTGACATAATTGAATTTAATTGAATTATTTTGGAATTTAGGGTTTAGAATGAAATTGAATTACTTTGGAAATTGGGGTTTAGAATGAAATTGAGGACTGTTTTGCAAGTTTTAAAAGTTGGCGGACCTAAATTCAAGTGTCTGAAAAGTTCAATAACCTTTTATATAATTTACCCTAATTTCTAACGGTGGTTTAAGTTGGGGGACCATATTGCAAATGGAATAAATGTTGGGGGACTGTATTGCAAGTTTTAAAAGTTGGGGGACCTAAATGCAAGCTTCAGAAATGTTCAGTGACCATTACTATACTTTACCCTTAAAAATATTTGTACTTATAAACTCGACGTAGAATACGAGTTTATGTTTTCTTTATATAATATCTATTAATCATTATTTTTAAATAGCATGGATGATTGTAAGGTAATATTTGTTCATAATATTTCTTAATCATTGATAACACACCCTACAGGTCTAGCTGCTCGAACGTATAACCTCTAAGAATAATTTAGAGCATTTGGTGGGTCAAATATCTATTAATTATTTAAATATTACGAATCTTAAAATTAAAGGATAATGCACGTTTAAACCTACGTTCTCTTGAATGATACAATAACAATAATACTAATTGAACTAAGATTCAATCTATAAATATAATATCTTTAAGGGCATAAAAGTTAAGTAACGTGCTATGATGAAGAGAAGTGAACCTGCAAACCGGAAGAAAAGCATTGTCTAAACAAGAAACCCGAGAGATGAGAAACGAACCATTGATGACATATAGTAATTCTTTTTGAGCTAAGAGATGATGAGGTGAAGATAAAGAAAAGGGTAATAGGGTTTTAGCCCCGAAAGGTGTGTGCTTCCAACCAACATTATATAAAAGATTCTGAAGCATTTGGTAGGCTCCCTCCCATGTGTTTAAAGGGGTCCTCCATTTCAAATCTGTTGTTTTGATGCTAAGGTGTTTGTCTTTGCTGTTGTTTCTATCACTAATCCCTCCCTCTCTCTTATTTTTATATTTTAGTCCAAATTAGGTAACCTTATGTTGAAAAGCATGTGATGTGGTGGCCACAATGAGGGACCAAAGCGTAGCTCTGGTGGGGCTAACCCTTTCGTCTACAATACAGTGCCCCAACTGCACGTTGTCCCCTCGTGGGTTTTTCGTATCGGACTCGTCCTTGCAGCCTGTTGCAGACAAGTACCTGACGGTTTAACTCACCCCTTAATTTCTTTTCTTCTTCTTTTTATGAGAAGCAGATATATATGAAAAATGCTTTGTCATTTATGCTCATCATCTTTATAATCATAATAATAATTATTGCCCAATGCCCTTGTGTATAATTTGTCATTTATGCTCATCATCTATTTTCCCATTCCTTTTTCTGCTTCATTGCAGCTTTAAAAGATTGAAAATTGATTATTCTTGCGTTGACTTCACATATAATCCAATTATTAACTTCAAAATTAGACTTGTACCGTGCACTCCATTTCTTTCTTTTCCTGAAAATTTTGAGATGGAAATTTCAAATTGGATGGTCAAATTGCCTATTCTACAATCTCGATCACTATTGCAGGGATGGAAACAGAATAAAACGATTGGAGGCCCTCCAGTTTCTTAATAAACTAAAATAATTCGAACGCAATGCTTAATTTCATTAATTTTGAAACTAAAGGCACCTTAAAAAGTAATTAAATCAAAATATTGAAGAAACCAAAGTTTACTTTTATTAATTTTAAAATTATTAGGAGCTTAAGGTGTAATTAAACCAAATATTATTATTTGTTATTATTCTTGTTATTAGATTATCCTTTCTAAGCATCATCTACAGAATAATCTCCATTGCACCAAACTGATAGTATCATTTTTAATACTTTAGGGTTTAGCTTTTGGGAGGCTAGCTTAAGCATTACTTAATCAAAATGATTAGTGTTATACTGTCAACAAATCAAAATCCATAGCCAATCTACAAAGAATAATGATAATCATAGAACATAATTAATAAAATCGCCAATCTACAAGCTAGTTATAAAACCACGAGGGTTAATGATGAATCATATCTAAGATGTATGATTTTTGGTATAGGTGACATGGCAAAGCATGTAAACCAAGTCCTTCACGTGAACTGAAAGAAGATACTGTCGAATAGTTTCACTGTTAAAAAAAACGTTATTTTTCCTAAAAATTTTGTGAACGAATAGTTGCGTCTGTAGGGTGTGTACACTGTCAACTGATTAAAAAAGTTCAAAATAAATACTATATTGTAATCAACTTATATTATTAAAGAAAAAGAAAGTTAAAGAAAGAATAGATGATATATATATCCATATATACTACTTTGGAAAAGCAATGAATTCTATTATTGAAATGGACAAAGGAAAGATGTATAATTATGATGCCCTACTAGTTTCGGTCGAAATGCCGGGCCATGGTTGCTCATTGCCATCATGCCTGCAAAGAGTTGAAGGTATAATTATCAAATCATTCTTTGTATTTCTTATTTCCTTAATTTAAACCCCCCCTAATCACTACCTTAGCTAATCTTTGTAGCCCATTTCTCCTACGATGCATCATGTCAGTTGTATTATATATCTAGAGTTTAGGATTTACGATTTAGGGTTTAGAGTTTTATATCTTAAGATTTAAGATTAAATTTAGGATTTAATAATAAAAGAGAGTGTTGATCTTTCTAGAGGTCATAGTTTCAAGCAATGGCGCCTACAGAGTGTTTATGTTGTCAATAGATTAAGAAAGTTCTGAACATATACTATCTTATAATTTCTTCATATTATTAAAAAAATAACTTTTCTAGAATGAGTGACACTCTTAGATTAATTTATTCCATTGAAATTGGAGACCATAAGTGTCTAAATTACTTCTAAGATGATGACAACAAAGTTTTATATCTTATTGGATATGATAGTAAATAATAATCCTTAAAAAATATTTTAAAAACCAGAGAATTATTAATCTCATTTGATTCATGAAAAGACATATCATCACCTTAATATTTGCTACTAATTACTTTGTCTCGTTTAATTAGAAAAAGTTTGTCTTTTTTGTTGTATTATTGCACATGGGAGCTGGCTAACCCCATGTGTGTTTTATTAATTTAATGTCCATTGATTATACACTTAGGGATACAATAAAATTGTTTTTTTATTAAGCTAAGGTGATTACAATATATAACATCTTATCTAAATACTCTCAACTATTTGATAATAAACATCAAATCATCATTGTAGTCACTGGTGCTCGAACCTATGACTTCTAGGAACGACTCAATTCCTTTAACCACTAAAGTAAATTGGTTCGTGCATCAAAATTGTTAGACGCAAGGGAAATTAAAGGGGGAAATGATTATGTATGAAGGATCCAATGGTAGGCCTTCAATCTGTTCATCAAAGGTTTTATTTTTATGGGCCATCTATCTCTTGATATTCCGATATGTGTTTACTACTTTTAATTTCACACCCTTAAATTTTTATTATAACTTCTTAAATTCATACCTTAAATATAAAATCGACATCTAATACAAAATGGATCTGGGTTGGGTGAGTTAAAGAGTACATCAAGAAATGTAGCAAAAAAGAAGGTATTACACGGATAATTGGGAAATTGATGGCTTAATAATGACTCATGTTTGTGTAATAAATAAAATATCGTCAAAATCCTACAATCAAGATGGGTTACTGGTTTAAGTACAGAAATGCTCATGCATACAACAGCACAAGTGATCAAATCACACACCATATATTACAAAGAAACAACTCCATATTGACTTGCTTGAACTGCAACACAACCAGGAACTTCTAACCCTGCATTCTAGACTTAGAACCGATTTTGTCAAAAAATTTGCAGCAAAAAAAAAAACGGTTGGACGTCATGCATATTCGAATAAAAATGCAATTGCAGCCACGAGAGTCGTCAACAGTCCAAGTGCCGAGACAAGCTGGTGGGAACTGGCGTTAGGCAACCAGGGATAGGAGTCAGGAGGTGGCATAACACAATTATCTCCATTGAAGTAGATTCTTCTTGGGAAAGCCCAACCCTTCTCGAAAGTAAAAGTTTCTTTATCCTTTCGGAAAAGTAGCTCTGACTGCACGTTACCAAGTGGACCGGCTTGTGATAGCAAATCGTTGTAAAATTTAACACCCCATAGCATGGCAGTATCATCTGTAGATTAAACAGAACTTACTCTTTAATCACCTTTCAAAATTAGTATGTTTCCTATTTACATGTAACATTTGCAGCTATGTATTACCACGAAAAAACATCGAGCAGAGATGAGTTCTATGTAAACGATCATTTCACTCATGACGAGATAAGATGCAAAAAGCACAAAACATAAGAAAAAGTGACCAATATCAAATGAACTTGCTTATCGCTGCATATGGAGTTAAAGACTTGTAGTTAAAGCTGAAAATCTGAGTGAGATTGTTGAAGTTGGGGTGCTGCACAACTAAGTTCCACTGTGTATAATTCATATTGTAATTGAAATTAGGAATCGTGACTTTAACTCGCCAGTACTCCTTGTAGTTAAGCTTAACATGCCAATGAATTCGGACCGGACACATATGGCTTGTACATTGGACCAAAGGAGCCAAGTTATTCTTCCCTGTACCCGGAACAAGCGACGCTATATGCGGAGCTTTTGGACTGCACATTAAAAACAAATAAGCTCAAGGAAGCAATAAAGAATCGAGATAACAATCAACTCCAACAAACATACTCCAAGCAATAATTATCATCTTTTTGGCGGAATGAACTTACTCTACACAGCTCCCCGGCTGAGAAGCATTTTGGCAGCCACAAGCACATTGAGGGCAAGGTACTATGGTTTCATTATAGAAGGATGAGAGAGAGACGCAACAACTAGGTGTTTTCTTAGCCAGAAATTGCGAATACGTGCACGTAACATTCCATGTCACTGTCATGAAGAAGAAGTGTCAATTTCTAGCATTCTAGATGAAAGAAAATGAATAACCATATAGCATTCTAGATCTTAATCGAATAACTTACTCAAAGCTTGTGTGACTCGTCTTTTGTCTGCAGTAACGAATCTACTAGGTTTAACAATTTTTGCCGGTCCACATGTATAACCAGGCCCTGGTGCCTTCAAAGTGAAGTTCCTAGGAACTCTAACTGTCTTATTTGTGGTTCCGGCTTGACCAACACTCACCTGGAATGAGCTTGCTGCAGTGGTTGGATCTTGCACCCACGAGTTTAGCACTCCACCTTTACAGCAATTTGCAATCTGCTGATTATAAGGCGTTCCCGGCAATAGATCCACAACAGTTGGATCCTTCTTACAGCAATGTGGAATGTTCCCTTTGAATTTAGAACAATCCCCTTGTTCGGTTGTTTGCCCTCCCATCATGCTCCAAATCACCTCCTTCTTAGCCCATTTCCAACCTAATGTCCACCCTGGTGCTTGGATATGCCGGTATTGCTGGAAGTTATAGATTGTGACAACTGCCTGCTCGAATTTAATCACATTTTCAGCTAATGGGGACAAAAGATGAAACATACTCATGCCAAAATGATACCCTATTCTCCAAACCATTGTTTCTTCATTCGTTGAATCTTAAACAAAGCCTAGATTTTAGTTCTCCCTATTGAATGATTTTCGGTATTACAGAGTTAGCAAGTCATTACTTATTCACACCAAGCAATCGGGTTCGAACTTCGTACGACCCCACACTAGATAGCTAAAGCATCAAATTCTAACTTCTTGCATACACAAACCTATGCATGCGTCGTAAGTAATAAGAGATGAAAGGACATTTACAACATAGCCATCAGCGGTCCAACTCATGATATCCCATTTGATTGTGATATTTCCATTTGGGTCCAGCGGATCGTAGGCTTCTGAAAATGAGTTAGAAGAGAGAATTATAACACATACATATACATTTCCAATACCTAATCATCCATTACATGAAGATATGCACTAAGAAACGAAGCAAAGAAACCAGTATCAGATCATCACTAGACAGAAATAGCAAAACCAAGTCCAAAAGTTAATATTTAGACTATCAACTACTCAATCTCATCATTAACTGCTGATCTTTTCCTAAACCCTCCCATCTAAAGACTAACATTATCACGAGCTAACAAACAAACCTCTCTGAACAATAGGAAAAGGCAAGATTTTGATAGAAATTTCATAGCTTAATATGGAAATTTGCTTTACAGAGCTAAATACCAGGCAAAACCCATTACCATAAAAATGCAAAATAGACTCGAAAATCATAAAAGAAGGTGCTTTCACATAATTAAAGAAACCCCATTTACCAAATTCATTAAAGAATCAAAACACCATAAAGGAAAAAAATATTCCAACTTCCCAAACATTATAAACAAAGAAAGAGATTCTACAAACCTGTTGAGGTGAAACTTGAGAAAGAGAACAACAACAGAAGCAAGACGCTGAAAGAGCTTAGCTTGAAGAAAGATCTAGCAATGAACAATAAAAGATTAGCCATTGCTTTAGGATTTCGAGAGGCTTTTTTTGGGTTATTGACTTTGGTTCAAGGTTTGTGACAGACGGAGAAGACCCACATAAAGAGTGAGAAAACAAAGGAGACGAGTAGCTTTTTTGTCCAACGGGACATGACAAGAAAGTCTAAATAAATCGAGTTCAAGTGGTGGGACACTTTAATCCCACTGCAAAACGCTTACTTTCTTTAATTATTATAAATTTGATATGTTTAACCATTGATTTAACATTAACAAAAATAGAATAACAATTAAAGGGAAAAAATGGCGTATGAAACACGATCTGTTTAGAAAAAGGAAGTGGAAGGAAAATGCGGTACATAGATTATAATTGTCAATAAATGGATGTTTGCTTGATTAAGACAAAAGTAGGTAGATGCATTACAGTTGTTTGTGACCGTGAGATAATAGAAACCCACAGCTTATATACTATGAACAGCTTGTGGTATGTTCTAGAGAAACATCTATGCCAATGGAGTTTGACTTCCCGGTGCTGGCTTTTGATAAATGGCGTTGGTGCCACGCAATATGCTTGGTCAGATGAGATTGAGTCATTTTTTTTATTACAAATTGATAAATAAATTGATCAAATTATAACTTTTTTGAAATGTTCTAGAAAATAAAAGGTGCATCTTAGGTTTGCAGCTTATTCATCCACTCTTGTTCCTTGTTTCTTACATAAAATGTCATGTTATAATGAATCCAACATCTGATTTACCTGGTTTTATTCTGCACCTATTATAAGATACAGAAGGCTAAGATTTGCAGATTATCAGAAAAGAAAGAAGCTAAAATTCAATCTGTGTATTCAACTGAATTTAGCTTCCAAGTGGTTTTTCCAATACAGCAGAGAAGTAAAGCTCGTCCTCCAATCTATCAGTCTTTGGAACAATTCTCCACAGTAACTTTTTGTAGTGCAGCCTGGAAAATTCATCCAAATAGATCTTCAAATCATCTCTTTTGCAGAAGAACCTATCCACCCAAAGAAGTCCTCGGGGTCGAAGAACACGATCCCAATCGAAAAGGACAAACTGAAGAAGATCCAATCCGATCCATCCATCCAAAAAGAGGGTAGAGTGTATAATATCGAGTGTGTTATCGAAGAAAGGTAGTCTTGAACCAATTGATAAGTAGAGGGGTAAGAGGCCTCTGAGCGCAATCACTTCATTAAAAGGAGCCCCTAAGTTCAAGGTAGCAGATGCAATTGTTACGTTTCTTTCCTTCATTAGTGCAGCAAAAGTGCCGGTTGTGGGGCTAAAATCGAGTCCTATCCTGATCTCTACTGGCTTCAATCTTAGAACTTTATCTATGGTGAATTCAGCTGAAGTTGATTCATTCGTCAAGATCTCCCATCCTCTTTTCGAAAGATCGAAGCAGTTTGAACATTTGAAGAAGCCTCTTTTGCCTAATGTTTCATTAGAAACAAGACAGGAGTAATCTTTGCACTTATAACGGCTCCATAAAATGTTGGTGTCGGTTGGTTGAGACCAAAGGGATGAGTTTATAGGGAGTGGTTTACTGAAACGTGGAGGTGTTTTCGAGAAGCATCTTCTTCTCGGCAATGGATCGCAGCCACTGATCATGACCTTCTGAGCAATGTCCCAGTCATCAGAGCACATCCTATAGATCTTATAATCCATAAAGCGATCTACATTCGAGGCCATGCTGGCACAAGTGAGTCCTACAGATGGACTAATTGCTTCCACCCCAAGGAAGTTTTTCTTCCCAATCAGCCTATTCAGTTTCAATGCAGTGTATTTATGAAGCTCACCTGAGTTAAAACGATGAGTATCGGATCCTTGTTCGATTTTGCTTTCTTCATGGTCACTGAAGTTTTCATCTACAGCGCTGACTTCGTTCATACCAGAACTGTTATCATAGGAACCTGATAAGGATTCTGCAAACTTGTCCAAAGATAAGGCAATATGTAGAAGTTGATCAGAAAATGATGCTACTGCTTTAGATTCTGCACTTGAACCACGAAGCTGCTCCAGAAGAATTCCGACTTTGGTCTGCAAATCAGAGACTTGATTTCGAAGCGAATGAGGCAAAACGAATCGGCCTTGGGAGATACCAGCCTTGGAAGTGGTGGTTCTGAACATAAACTGGGTATAGAAGATGTTGGAGCTTAGGATTGTAACTGTTGGGATGCTTGCAAGCAGACACAGACACAGCATCAGAGGAAGGCCAGCAGGCAGCCATTTCGAGATTTAGACACATTCGGTTTCTGCATTTCTCGGTTGGGTTTGTGCAATGTATGGGGAGCTACCAAACCATTTAATTTTTCATCAGATCCTAAGAGCTGTTGAGTATATACTTGATTGGGCACTTTGGATTTTCAGGTTGAGTTTCCCTAGATGTTTGACTTAAGAATTCCACTTTTTTCCTCTCTCCCGTAAATGGGGACAACTTGGAATTTTCTTCTTTGATAATCTCAAAGTAGTGAACATTGTTTTTGTTAATGGCTTAAGAGGTCTAATTGCAGTTGAAGCAATGATCTGTGTACTTGAGAGCACTTTAAACGCCTCATCAATAAAAATAAACTGACGTAGCTTGTTTGGAAGAAAAGAAAAAGGACGTGAAACACCTCACATGAATGACATTACTTGGAATGGGAGTCTTAATGGATAAAGGGGAGAATATACAAAGCAATATCATCATAATCAATTACAGTCTAAGAAGTTTCCATATCTTATGAAAATATTGTAAGAACTTGTTGAGCCAAAAGGGCATCTTAACACAGGCTGAGTAAGTGCATGTGCTCCAATCAAAACTTGACCACAAAAAAGCGACAAGAATACAACTATCCCAAAATTTTAATTATTAGTATGGTGATGACTGAGCAGAAAACGGTTTGGAGCAAAGGTAATGTTAAAGATTCTGCTGTATGCACAGAATCCTTTTCCCCAGTTATTCATAGGCTTCTCAGTTATGCACTCGGTTCTCTGTCATTTTCATCATCATCATAGTCATGACCATCGTTTTTTTTGTCATCTTGATCATCATTTTCATCATCACAGCCATCGTTTTTGTTGTGTAACCCCCACAGGCCGATAAGGGTAACCAGATCCAATCCGAGATGTCACATTTGGGCCACCGGAGCGACCCATTGTAAAAATAGCGGAAAATTTAAATTTTTTATTGAAACGTGTAACTTATAAAATCAGTTGTCACTATTTAAAAATAAAACAGACGTCCAGACTCGTATATAAATCAAAATACAATTACATGCCTCCTAATCACATGTATCATACTCTGCAACAACGCCGAAAGAACTCCCTTACTGATGTCGATAGCTGCACTGATACAATTCTTTTAACCTGAAAATGTGAGTAATAGAGTGAGCTTCGAAAAGCTCAGTAATACAGAACTGCCAGAAGATGTTGATGAACGTGTAGATACAAATAAATATATATTTCCTTATTGTTTCCGAACATTTACAGATTTTTATGCTGAGCAGAGATCCTACTGATATTTCAGGTGGTAACAGACAATGAACTTTCAGTTCAGATGGAAATATTTCGGATGACTGAATTCAGGAGATCAGAATATGTTATCTAGTGTGTTCCCATAAAACCAGTAAAAAGATACAGATTTTTATTTTAAAACATATATATATATACACCCTCATCCTTTCACAATCTGTTTGTGTAGGTTCCCCGGAACCATACACCCCGCACAACCAGTAAGGCCATGAGCACACAACCGAGAAGCTTGCAGATAATCTTCCTCCAACAATAAACCCCCCAAATAAAACATTTCTCCGTCGGTAAATGGAGATATCAGAAATCAAAACAGAATTCAGATCAGATATCAGAACAGAATCCATATCAGAAATCATAACAGAATTCAGGTAATGTATCAAAACAGAATTCAAGTCGGAAATCAGATAAAATATTTATATAATTAGGGAACACACCAGAGTTTACAGATATTATTCAGAGGTATTGGATAATCTTATCAAACAGAAAAACACAGATCTTCAGTATACTGATAGAATATCGGAATTCAGAATCACTATTGGAAGAGTTCAATAACTGACAAAATCATCAATTATTCAGAATATGACTTGAGTTGGTAAGGAAGAAATGAAGGTTCATGACATTTACAATCTATGTCGATTAATCAATTTATCGAATAACTCCAAATGAATAGCTCCCAGAAACAATACTTATCAACTTGTCAATTCATTAACCTTCCATGATATTTACTCTTTAATACCAAATATTATTATCCATAGATCATTTTCTGAGTCATCACTGAACAGATCTTAAGGAGACTAAAAAAAAATATTCCAATGCTCTTAATTTCATTTGCACGCTTCCACAATATCATATAATACTGACTTACTTGATTAATTTGTTCATAACCCATTGTAATTATACATTATGTAAACTCATCAGAGTTTCCAGACTTATCCAAATCACTTACTAAATCCTCAATCATTGAAGTTACCTAGTTCATTTAGCAGTCATGTCCATTCCAGTTACTTCGGGATTTTCCAGAGTAATTCAAACGTTCCTGAATTTCAGATACATGTTGTATTTTCGTTATATTCAATTTGGTCTTCGTGGTCGATTTGTCGAACAAATATCCAATTCTTAGTACTGAATACGATCTAGAGTTGAGCTGAGCTGAATACTTCCAAAATTATCATTGAGCTAAACTTGAGTAGAAGAACATGCATTCAAGTAATATCTATGTCGTTCAGGTACTGACATATTATTAAGGTTGATCGGCTCACTTAAGTTATGTTCCATAACTTTTAAAGGTAGTCCAATACCTATGCTTATTTGGATTCCTTAATTAATCTAAGGTATTTACTTAGTTTAGGCCATAAGGTTATTTTGATAATTTTGGTGTTCAGTTTTATTCCATTTATTTCAGAGTTCGAGGATATCCAATCATTCCTGAGCTTGGTGATATTCTTTGGGTCATTTACATTACAGGGGTATTTTGGTTATTGTAAAGATTCAATGTACTTTAATCATTTCCTTCCGTCTGATCTTACTATTAAATTCAATCTTATCATTTATTTCAGTCCTTTCGAACAATTCTGACAACAGAACACCCCTGACAAATTGTTCTTCAGGTATTTACTCATAACTCGGATATTTTCGGGTCAAGTGCC